GTTAGAATACTTAGTTTTATCTAGTTAGAATACTTGGTTTCATCGTACTAGAGTTTTGTTTTATCTAGTTAGAATACTTAGTTTTATCTAGTTAGAATACTTGGTTTCATCGTACTAGAGTTTTGTTTTATCTAGTTAGAGTACTTAGTTTTATCTAGTTAGAGTACTTAGTTTTATCTAGTTAGAGTATTTTGTCTTATCTAGTAAGAGTATTTTGTTTTATCTAGTTAGAGTACTTTGTTTTATCTAGTTAGAGTACTTTGTTTTATCTAGTTAGAGTACTTTGTTTTATCTAGTTAGAGTACTTTGTTTTATCTAGTTAGAGTACTTTGTTTTATTTTATCTAGTTAGAGTACTTGGTTTTATCTTACTAGAGTTTTGTTTTATCTAATGAAGAGTATTTTGTTTTATCTTACTAGAGTTTTGTTTTATCTAATGAAGAGTATTTTGTTTTATCTTACTAGAGTTTTGTTTTATCTAATAAAGAATATTTTGTATTCTCTAATTAAGGTACTATATTTTCTCTAATTTCTTTACTTAGGTCCTAGAATATGCTGGTAGAGGTAAAAGTATAATTGATGTAGGATTGGCACAAGCAAGAAGCCCACTTGACACCACCAGTCATTACTTTGAGATTGAAATAGTAGAACCTGGTGAAAACTGTTACATTGCCATAGGTCTTGCAAGAAGGGTAAGTTACTTACAGGAGATAGTGCAACCCTCTGTCAGTATGAAATATAGTTGTGTAGTGTATCTGATACAGTTATAACCTGTTAGATTTCCGACTTGTGTTGATCATAATGTGTTTATTTCCATTTGCATTATTAGTGATTTAAATTACTGATACTTGGTCAACAGTTATAAAATTATCTTCTCAAATGCTAAAAATAACACATCTTAACTACTGGCAAAATAGGGGATTAGTTCTCTGTTATTTCAAAAACACATATTAACAAGTTTGGTTATTTGTCTTTCAATATTTTCTGTGTATGTAACCATTTTAAAGTTTAATAATATTTTGCATATCAAAGTCTCTAGGCTCTAACAGTTGGTGATAAAATTTTGGAATTTGAAGACATTTGTTGTTTATTCATTGAACTTTATAATTTTCATTTCAGGATTATCCCAGGCGAAGGCACCCAGGATGGAATAAAGGATCCATAGCTTACCATGCAGGTAAGTGAAGGTTTTAGTATTTTATGTGTGGAAAAGTTTCTGGGGCTTATTCTACAAGTATTCATATATTTTAGCATTAAGTAAATAAATTAAGAATTTATTGTTAGTATGTTGATAATTATTGTTGCTTGCTATTCATATAAGTAATGCAATTTTATGTTATCCAGTTGGATAAGGAAGAGATCTTCAGAAGTTTCTATAAACCATATAGAGCTAAGGGTATGTGATTATGGAAAAGATATTGAATTAAAAATCCATTGACATCCCTCCACTTGTATGGAGTCACATATAATATGTTACCTGTTTCTAAGTTTTTAAAGGCTCAAATTTCAAGTTGGAAAAGTCTAAGCTTTCTGATATGAAGTTTTGGAGTGAAAGGATGAGCTTAAAATGTAGTAAGTTCATGAGTTTATTGCATGGCCAGTCAGATTAAAACACAAATCAGGTGGTCTGCAGACTAATAAATGTTCCACTGACATAAAAATATTTTTGTTAATTCCGAGATTTTAAAATTCTAAAGAATTCTTTTTTTTTCTTCAGATGATGGAAAGATTTTTGTTGGTAGTGGAGTTGGTGATCCTTTTGGGCCCCGATGTCACAAAGGTAGAGATGTATTATGTGTATACTTGAAGCTGACCACAACTGTTGTGTATGCACCCACATTTAGATCAGTCTTCTTTTAATGTAAATGTAAAACTTAGTAATACTTCAGTTATAGAAGTCTTCTAGCCAAACTGTTGTGCACAAGAAACAGATTTATATTCAATTCTCAAGCAGACACTTTTCAAAACCTGAACATTACACTGAACTTTATGATAAAATAACTTTAACTTGGAATCTTAAATATTATTAGCTAATGAAACCAAATAAAATGTATTTAACTCTCTCAACACGGGCTCGGTTAATTTCAACGACCACATGACCTCTTTGTGCTCATTTACAGTCTTTATAGATTTAATACTTCTAACTTTTAATATAGTGTGTATATCTTCACAAAATTTGGCAGTCTTTCAGTTAATATTATAAGTCTTTCACATACAAAAAATCATATTATTTAGTGAATTATTTTTAATAACATAAAATTTAGATTTTTCCAGGAATATATTAAGTATTTGTTTTGAATAGTTCATGTGCAAAGCAATGTTCATGTTAAAATTAAAAATACTTTTCCTCATCTCAAAAATCTCAAATTTACTTTGTGTAATCTCTAAAACCTCCTGAATGCATTTCAAACGTTTTCAGTAAAACTTTATAGTTTATCTGTTATTTTCTCTACCCTATCTCAAAATGGGATTGGTCAATTTGACTGACC